TTATTTTTGTATGTGACCTCTATATGAGGGATGAACACCTGGGTCAAGTGATCCTCCTGCCTCAGCCTCCATGTAGCTGGGACTACAGGCCCCACCATTGTGCTGGCTGTTATAAATTATACTAACATAGATGAATTAATGGGAAGATGGTGGCAAGAGTGAGAGATGTCTGATGACCAAATCAATGAAATTATTGTAAAAAAAATTAATTAATTCCATCAAGAAGTGATCTTTAAATAAAATATTGGCAATAAGTTCTGGATTGGTGAATAATCCAAATAACTGACAGTGATGACTGACTAAATGGATTACTAAATTTCGTTTTTTTTTGTTTGTTTCTTTCTTGAGGACAGGAGTCTCGTTTGTTGTCAGGGCTAGCGTGAGTGCCGGTGGCGTCGCCTAGTCAAGCAGCCTCAAACTCCTGGGCTGCAGGTGATCCTTCTGCCTCAGGCCTCCCGAGTAGTGGACTCAGGCATGCGCCCCAATGCCCGGCTAATTTTTTTACTATATTATCAGATGCCAATTTTATTTCTTTTATTGGGCGGGTATATACATACATAATGAGTGAGATGTGCACCATCTGGGGGATGGTCACGCTGGAAACTCAGACTTGTGGGAGGAGGGGGGAAAGGGCATTTATTGAAACCTTAAAATCTGTACCCCCATAATATGCCGAAATTAAAAAAAACACATGATCTCACTATATCTCTTGTATTTCTATATACCATTAATTAACAACCACAGAAGATATTTTAAAAACAATTCAATTTACAATAGCATTCAAAATAATACAATGCGTAGGAATAAATTCAGCCAGGGAGGCAAAAAGCTGTCTATATGCCTTTTATCTTGTTGAAGTAAATTCCTTCTATCCCCAGTTTTTAAAGAGTTTTTATCATGAAGGGATGTTGAATTTTATGGAATGCTTTTTCAGCATCAGTTGAAATGGTCATATGGTTTTCGTACTTCATTTTGTTGATATGATGTATCATCATTGATTGATTTGCATGTGTTGAACCATCTTTGTATCCCTGGGATGAATCCTACTTGATCACAATGAATAATATATATATATATATATATTTTTTTTTTTGAGACAGAGTCTCACTTTGTTGCCCCAGGCTAGAGTGAGTGCCTTGGCGTCAGCCTGGCTCACAGCAACCCCCTCAAACTACCTGGACTCAAGCATCCTGGCTGCCTAACAGCCTCACCAGAGGTAGCCGGGAAGTACGGCATGTGCCACCGATGGCGCTAACTTAACTATACTATAGTAATAATAATTATATATATTAGTTGGGCCAGTTATTTCTTTCCCTATCTTATAGTAAGCCGGGTCCTTGCTCTTGCCTCAGTGCCCTGGTTCGTGAACTCCTGACCTCAAGCAATTGCCTGCCTCGCCTCCCAGAGTTAGATTAAAAGGCCGTGAGCCCCACGCCTGGCCCTGATACATAAATACTTTTTAAATCGCGTGTTGTTTGAAATTGGTCTTGCTAACGTATTCTTTTTCATTGAGGCGATTTGTTGCCATCACTATGTTCATCACAGATATTGACCTATAGTTTTCTCTTTTTGTTGTATCTTTCTCTGGCTTTGATATCAGGGAAATACAGTCCTTGTAGAATGAGTTTGGGAGTATTCCCTCCTCCGCAATTTTTTAGAATAGTTTAAGTAGGTGTTAGTTCTTTGAATGTTTGGTAGAATCCAACAGAGAAGCCATGGGTGCTGGGCTTTTCTTTGATGGGAGACTTTTTATCACTGCTTCTATTTCATTACTTGTTATTCGTTTATTTAGGATTTGGATTTTTTTCCTGATTCAATCTTGATAGGTTGTATGTATCTAGGAATTTATCCATTTCTTCTAGGTTCTCCAATTTATTGGCATATAGGTGCTCATAGTAGTCGCTAAAGATCCTTTGAATTTCTGCAACATCAGTTGTACTGTCTCCTTTTTTATCTCTGATTTGATTTATTTGGGTCTTCTCTCTTCCTAGTCTGGCTAAAGATGTGTCATTTTATTTATCTTTTCAAAAACCAAACTTTTTGGTTCACTTTTTTTGTTTCAATTTCAGTTATCTCTGCTCTGATCGTTATTATTTCCTTTCTTCTACTAATTTTGGGTTTGGTTTGCTTTTGTTTTCCTAGTTCTTTTAGATGCATTGTGTTATAGTCTGAAGCACGAGAAAAGACCACCTTAAAAACCAAATTGGACCAAATTGTGAGTCTTTATTTACTGGCCAGGACTACTCCTGTCCTGCAGAGTGGCAGACACAGAAAAGTTGTGATGAGAAGGGAAAAACAGCCCCTTTTTAAAGGCAAAAAAACCACACTCTAAAATTATAATTAGCAAGCACTTTTACAAAAGCGAGAGAAAACATTAATCTTTTTTTTTTTTTTTTTTTTTGAGACAGAGTCTCACTTTGTTGCCCAGGCTAGAGTGAGTGCCGTGGCATCAGCCTAGCTCACAGCAACCTCAAACTCCTGGGCTCAAGCAATCCTCCTGCCTCAGCCTCCCGAGTAGCTGGGACTACAGGCATGCGCCACCATGCCTGGCTAATTTTTTCTATATATATTAGTTGGCCAATTAGTTTCTTTCTATTTACAGTAGAGATGGGGCCTCGCTCTTGCTCAGGCTGGTTTTGAACTCCTGACCTTGAGCAATCCGCCCGCCTCGGCCTCCCAGAGAGCTAGGATTACAGGCGTGAGCCACCGCGCCCCGCCTAGCATTAATCTTATGTTTCTATCTTGTTTTAGCACAATGGGGGGGGGGGGTTGGAGCCTTGAGATGGGTTTTGTAGGAGTCACCAGCTGCAGCCAAGATTCAGCCGAGAGGAAGCCTCTGAAGTACCCTAATCACAGACAACATCAATCTTAGTTGAAGTACATCCTGCATCCTGCGATCTAAGCCCACGCGCATTTCGCCAGGTACTTAGAGCATGTCGGGTGCCTCAGGGGTCCAGGGCGCTTCGACCCTGGACTAGTGGCTGTATCTTGTGGGCAGCTGTGCCAGGCACCACCACCCTTCTCCTTAGTTTCTAAACTTAATTACCCTAGCAGAGGCCAGATGGCAGGTGCGGGGTCAGATGAGGGTCAACTGAAAATTTCCCACTCTCCTAAGCAAGCAAGCAAGCAAGCAAGCATAATACAGAAGCTGATGGCTAGGTTATTGACCTAGGCCCTAACTCATTGTTTGTTTATTTGAAGTTTTTCTACCTTTTTGATGTGGGCACTTAATGCTATAAATTTTCCTCTTCCTACTGCTTTTGCCATATCCCATAGGTTTTGATATGTTGTGTTTTCATTTTTATTTGTTTAAAGAAATTTTTAAATTTCCATCTTAATCTCTTCATTGACTGGTCATTCAGGAGCATATTGTTTAATTTCCATGTGTTTGTATAGTTTCCAATGTTCCTCTTGTTATTGATTTCTAGTTTTATTCCATTGTGTTCAGAGAAAATACTTGGTATGATTTAAATTTTTTTTTTAATTTTTAAGACTTGTTTTGAAGTCTATCCTTGAGAATGATCCATGAGCTGAGGACAAGAATGTGAATTTTGCAGCTTTTGGATGCAATGTTCTGTAAATATCTATTAGGCCTGTTTGGTCTATAGTGCAGATTAATGTCAACATTCCTTGGTTGATTTTCTGCCTGGATGATCTGTCCAATGCTGAGAGTGGAGTGTTGAGGTCTCCAGAGATTATTGTATTGGGGTCTATCTCTCTCTTTATCTCTGACAACATTTGCTTCATATATCTGGATGCTCCAGTGTTGGGTGCAAATATATTTGGAGTTTTTATATCCTCTTGCTGAATTGACCCTTTTATCATTATATAGTTATCCTCTTTGTCTCTTTTTACAGAGCAGGGCGGATTGAGCAGGAGGGAGGAGCGGCACAGCAAGGGGGAGGGAACACCAGCCGATGCCATCTTGGCACCATGGGAGGGCTGGGAGGGAGCTGCCTGAGCTAACTCTTTAGTCCCACGCCCAGTAAATTATGACTCGGGTTTCTGAATGGCCTCTCCTGGCAGCAAACTCAATTTGTGCCAGAGGAAAGCCCCAGTCATAGCAAGGCTATGTGTGGCAAAATCAGATAGAGGGCTTGAATGTGCAAGAACAGCTGGCAGGGGCCTTAGAGACAGTCAAAAGGAATGGGAGAAAAAGCTGCCCCAGACTGACTTTTTGTAAAGAAGTACCTTGAAAAGAACATTGCCCCAAATTGCAAAGGATTCTGGGTGGCAGGAAGCCTCCAGGAAAGCAATTAATGTTTTTGTTAAGTACAGGACTCAGATGGCAAAGGAGGGGACCCAGAGCTCCCTGCTTCCCAAAGTCCTCACAGGAGCCCTGGGCAAAGCTGACAGTGGGGATTCAATTGGCACTAGCTGCATGGACAGAAGCAGTAAAGGGGCCCCTGCCTCAGGGTGCCACCCTGATCCCCAGCATCAGCCATGCCTGCTGCTCTGCAAGCCAGGCAGGAAGTGGCAAGGGAGGGGCCGGGTGGCAGTGAGGCAACCGCAGACCAGAGGTGGCTGAGAAACTGGTCGCAGCAGGACCAGGAGGCGGACCTGGGCGAGCAGCAGGAGCTCACCTCTGGGGGTGGCCGCCGAGCTCCTGCTGGAGGAATGCCAGGGCCTGGTGAAGCGGACAGGAGACTGCCATTGTGCTTTGAAGGTCAGGCCTCAGCAAGCCTGCACATCATTACAGCACTGGCAAGAAGAAAGCTACCAAAAATAAGGATATTAAGTATGCCACCAAAATAATGGCCCTAATGCAAGCTGTGGCTGAGCCCAAGCTGGTGGCCAACATGACAAAAAAGCAAATCAGGCCACTGCTAAGGAGGCTGCTGGAGGTGCTCTGTTCCTCTGGACCTGACACCCGGCTAGATTTAGCTCCCCGTTGAAACTAAAGACTGGGGCTCTGACCTTGCAGTGGCACAGCTAAGTGGAGACAGAGTTCTCAGGGACTCGTCTCCTACCCAGAGCTTTGGTTCTGCCTCTTGTGAGGCACCTGCATGAATGCACATGCAATAGTGGAAGCGAATCCATCTCAACCTACCTGTAAATTAGCAGCAAAGTTTGATGTTACTGTTCCAACAATATTGGACCATTCGAATCGGCAAGGAATGGGTTCTGCGTGAATTAAACAAGTGTCAAAAGGCAAATCATCTCGAAGCTTGCCTTTCTTTGCTGTCACAACATAAAGGTGAACCATTTCTACACTATATCGTTATGTGTGTTGAAAAATGGATTCTTTTTGACAATTGCCTGCATTTAGCACAATGGTTGGATAAACAACAAGTGCTGAAACACAGTCCTAAACTGAATATTCATCAAAAAAAAAGACAACGGTGTGTGTTTGGTGGTCCAGCGCTGGTATTATCCACTACAGCTTCATGAAATCTCATCAATCAATTACAGCGGGTTTCTACTGGAACCAATTGGATGAAATAATAAGGATGCTTGCGATTAAGCAGCCAAGATTGGCTAATAGAGACAGGCCAATAGACAACGCTCCCTCACTTGTCACACAAACAACGCTGCTCAAACTACAGAGGCTGTGCTTGGAAACTCTCTGTCACCCACAGTATTTACCTGACCTTGCACTAACTGACTACCACTTCTTCCAGGCTTTGGAACACTTTTTGCAAGGAAAAATATTTAATTCTCAACAAGCTGTGGAAAACACCTTTTGCAATTTCATTGCCACTCACTCTTCAGGCTCCTTCACTGCTTGCATAAACAAGCTATCATTAAGATGGCCAAACTGTGCCATAGTTTAGGTGCATACTTGATTAATTGCATTGCTTCTTGAGATATAATAAACTGCACTTTTCATTCAAAAGCAGACATTTCGGCCGGGTGCTGTGGCTCACACCTGTAATCCTAGCACTCTGGGAGGCCAAGGCAGGCAGATTGCTCAAGGTCAGGAGTTCGAAACCAGCCTGAGCAAGAGTGAGACCCCGTCTCTACTATAAATAGAAAAAAATTAATACGGCCACTGATATATAACTAAAAAATATAGCCGGCGCAATGGTGGCGCATGCCTGTATCCAGCTACTCGGGAGGCTGAGGCAGGAAGGATCCTGCAGCCCAGAGTTTGAGGTTGCTGTGAGCTAGGCTGACGCCACGGCACTCACTCTAGCCCTGGCCAACAAAGCGAGACTCGTCTCAAAAAAAAAAAAAAAAAAAAAAATGAATTTTAGTAATTTTCCCAGTTTAGTCAAGTCACTCACTTGTCTATGTTATTTGGATTATCACCAATCCAAGAGCTTATTGCTCATTATTTTTATTTGAAAGGATCACTTCTTGATGAATTAATTAATTTTTGTTACAATAATTTTCATTGATTTTGTCATCAGTCATCTTCACTCTTGCCACATCTTCCATTAATTTCATCATGTTTATATAATTTATATACAGCCAGGCACGATGGTGGGTGCCTGTAGTCCCAGCTACATGGGAGGCTGAGGCAGGAGGATCACTTGAGCCCAGGTGTTCAAGATCAGCCTGGGCAATATAGAGTGGTCCAACATACAAAAATAAATCAATATAATATACCATGTCAGTGAATGAAGGAAAACAACCACATGATCATCCCAATCAATGTGGGAAAAACATCTCCTTTCACAAAATCCAACATCCTTTCATGATTAAAAAAAAAACACTCAGAAAACGAGTAATAGAAGGGAATTTCGTCAAATGATAATGGGCATCTATGAAAAACCCACATCTAACATCATACTCAATGGTGAAAGACAAAAAGCTTTCCTTTTAAGATGAGGGACAGGACAAGGATGCCCACTTTCACTGCTGCTATTCAACATTGCTCTGGAAGTTCTAGCCAGAGCAATAAGGCAGGAAAAAAGAGTACAAGGCACCCATATTGGAAAAGGAAAAGTAAAATTATACACACAGATGACATGATCCTTTATGTAGAAAATCCTAAAAAGAGTACAAAAAACTACTAGAAATATTAAATGAATTCAGCATACTCACAGGGCACAAGATTAAGTCTAAAAACTCAGTTTTTTTTTTTCAACAAATGGTGCTGGGAAAACTGGATAGCCACTTGTAGAAGGCTAAAGCAGGACCTACACCTTTCACCTCTCACAAAAATCAACTCACGCTGGATAACTATCACTTGCAAAGGCACTGCTATAAACTGACTGTTTGTGTCCCCACAAATTGATACGTTGAAATCCTAACTCTCAATGTAATGGGATGGGGGGGGGGACTTGGTGGGTGATTAGGTCATCAAGGCAGAGTCCTCACGGATGGGACTAGTGTCCTTATAAACAAAGGCCCCCAAGAATGTTGGTACTTTGGGACAGGAGTATGCCAACCTCCTCATTTGCCAGCAAATTACTCC